AGAAGAGAGAGGGAAAGAGAGAGAAGAGAGAGGGAAGAGAGAGAGACAGAGGGAGAGACAGAAATAAATAAAAGGAAAAGAGAGACAAGAATAAAGAATGACAGAAAAAAGGAGACATAGTGTCAAAATTAAACCACTATTCCCATACATTCATGTACATGTAACCATACATTCTCTTACTCTGTATTGTGGTACTGTGGTGTATCCGATTATTCTTGCGTCATATATTTCTCTTTTGCTCCATTTAACTTTAACACAGCTACCAAGATCAGGAGGTCCATCATTAACCTACAATAATTATCATTATTAATACATGTACATGTACAACCTCCCATTGTATGATAAAAATGTCAACAAAATTAATCTTTTGGCTATACAGTAGTTATTTTTTGCAGTCACAAATTCTCTTATAAAACTTCATTTTCTTCCTTGCATCAGTGTCTGTGGCCATACCACGTTGAAAGCACCAGTTCCCATCTGAACACTGAAGTTAAGCAACGTCGGGCCGGCTTAGTACTTGGATGGGTGACCGCCTAGGAATCGCTGGTGTCGCAGACTTTTTTTTTCTTTCTACTTGCATATCTTTTTTAAAAAGACTATAAAGACTATAGCTACCTTTTCTTGCTCTTTTTTTATTGCAATACAATACTTTCAAAGGCATAAAAATGCACCCAAAAATCATGTTTTTTGTTATAATAAATATGTAACACTATGTAAATTAGATGTAACAAAAAGAACTAACTATGATATCTCTGAGTAACATTTCAGAGCAAAGGGTTCCATCGTCAAACTGAACCTCATAAGTTTTAAGAGTATCAATACCACCAACAGTTCCATGAGCATATTGTAACCTGCAAGTACCAGCAGCAGAGATAAATAGCATAATTATTATAAATGATAAAGTAGCTTTATACATGCATTCAACTTAAGGCCTTTTCACACTGTAATGTAATGTGATGTAAAAGTAATGCGAATTGAATTGCTTATTAATTGTTTTCGCATTAGAGTAAAAACTGTGCCAGTGTTAAAAATTCCTTTAGATATTATCATTATTAAAAATACAATGTATTATAATACCTTGAAGATCCAGTCTTAGCATACACCTCATCCCCAACAGAAATTGACACAGTTTCCTATCAATAATACATTAATGACTCAGGCTGGGGTTAACTTTACACAGCAACTTGAAAAATGCATCATTTTAAAAACGATACACTTTGAATACTGTTTTCCTTTCCATAGAGTTCTATCAAGATTCTATCATGTTTTTATTTGTTTCCGTATAAACATCAGTAGCATAAAACAGGCACAAAACTTTAATACTGATTGCCTCATTTTCGTTGCTGTGTAAACTTAAGCCCAACATACATTATGCACCAAAAACTTGTTGCACACAATTTATACAGGAGTCAATGAAGCTTGCAACATGTTCCATGAAATAGAACTGTTTCCTATTTCATGCAACATGTTGCAAGCTCCATTAACTCCTGTATAAACTGTGTTACATGCAATAAGGTGTTTGCAACAAATGTCGCATAGTGTATGTTGGGCTTTAGACTTATAAACCATACAAAGTCCACCACACCACAGCTTACCTCAGAGGTGTGTTTATTGCAGACAAAACCAGATTTTCCAGCTAGCGTCTGCGGTACCACTGAGCTGTTCTGAGCACAAGTGACGTGTAAGTAAGTGTACATTTAGGCCAAATACACTGGACGCAAGCACCACTCTTGGACTCTGAGCAAATGGAGCATTTCTAATAAGAAA